ATTCGAGAACCGTTTCCTTATTTCTGTTGATAAAAATTGCAAAATGCAGACGTACTGCACTGTACAAAAAGTACAAAAAAGGTCTACAAGTTGCTTTATCATTTTTCCTGGGTTTTCTTGGCAGTACTCCATGTCATGTCAACAAAAAAAAAATAATTGCTCAATTCCAAAAGTGTAGCACTTTTTAAATGCACAAAAAAATGCTTTTCTGCAAACATGATGAACTCTTTTGCAATAAACTACCAGTGTTCTTCATACAAACTGGATAACATTTAAACTTGTTCTGTTCTCAGAAAAATATTTACAGTACAGTTGTGCCATTTATAAGCAGAAAGTGTATACCTTTAATTTCTCCAACAGGAACAATTAATTAATTTCTCTCCAAACAATCACTTGTTATACTACCTAAAAGTTCAGTAGAAATAAGCCTGTATACAGTAGGTCTCAGATAAAGGCAGAACTGCCAATAACACTCTTTCTAAAAAAGACCACAAGACTGTAATTGCTGAATCTTTAACTTTAAAAGTACATTTTTAGTAGATATTTTTTAAACAAAAAACATATTGTACAGCACCAGGCATGTGTTAATATAGCCTTTGGTTGCACGTTATGCCTTTTTTCTGGACCGTAATTTTAATTGTTTAAAAAAATTAAATAGTTTATTAACTTGTATACATTAAGGAGGCACCCCACCATAGTGTTATTTATTATATGCTTTTGCAAACCATATTTTCTAAAGAAAACTAACTATAGGGAGACTCCCACATTAAATGTAAAAGAATAAAAAATATGACAATATACTGTATACCTTATCTTTATCTTACCTTTATCTAGGCTCCTATTTGACCACCCTTGTAAAGCCAAACAAATTTGTCTTCCAACAAAGCACCGAAAATGTAATTTTTAGGGTAAGTGCACTATATCATTACATGCCGTATAAAGTACATATACATACAGTTTAGACATATATACACTACGTTACCTCTATGTAGGAGAGAAACTCAACACCACATAAGCCCTCGTTGGCATGTGGGGACTAAAAATAAATTTTCAACTACTGCCAACTAAACCCAGGAGATAAATAGTTTAATAAGGATCTGAATTCGGACAATTAATAAAAGTTCAGTGTAGTTTGTTCAGCCAAAAAAAAAAACATAAAGATTTGTTGTGTTATCCTAGAAGGAGTTCAGTGATGTAACCTGAACTCACTCTTGGCTTGGTGAAAGCTACTGATTAAAACTAAGGCATGAATTCTGATGAGTGTCGCTTGTGACGTCTGTGTAAGTTACCCTGTCTGAGCACCATCCCTTGAATTCCCACCACCATTGGAGCTTACAGGCTCAATAGATAGACACCCACTACTGAACAATTTACATTTAACAATGTGTTTTTAGCACAGTTTTTCCTTAGTGCTGCACCCGTAATACAGAATGACACCAGGCCCTCCTATCCTCCTTCCTCACCCCCACCCCCGAGAAACATTCTCCCTTCTCATCCCCACTCCCTCTTCCAGCACTACCAGCACCCTCTCTGACTGGCCCTGCATCTTGCCGCACGTTCCCAAAGACGCATGCCTGTTGTGTTGTTTACACCAGAGGGCTATCATCTTAGAGAAAGAAAGTCTTATAACATTTAATGCTGTCTCTGGCTGTTTCTAAACTAGGTGTCAATTCACAACAGGCTTCAAACGTACCAGCTCAGTGCGTCCCGGAACCAAGAGAGTGGATCCCAACCGGGCGCCCATCTTAACCAGCGGGGGGAGCTCTACCACCAACCACTCCAGCCTGGATTTGGGACACCAGGCCACCAACCAACTGCAGACCTGCACCCAGAAACACTCATCCAGTGCCAACAGATTGTCAAGGTGATTGTACTCGACAAGGGCGGACACAACCGCATGGAGGCCTTCCTCAGCCAGACTCCTACCCACCAGCTCATCCAATCCGCTGCCTCCACTCCAATGAGGTCACCAGAGGGTGGGAACCAGGGGACACCCATGAAGAGCAGCCCTCAGCCTCCACTACCCCCTCCACCACCACCTTACAACCATCCACACCAGTACTGCCCGCCGAACCCACTCATGAGTAGGCGAAGGTACTCAAGTGGCTCTCGAAGTTTAGTGTAAATAGCTCCCAGAGAGACTTTTTATAAAGAAGAATCATACAGTATATAATATACTATATATGTATATATAAATATATATATATACATGAAAGAGAGAAACTGGTATATTTAAAAATGTGAAACAAGAGTTCTACTTGATTCATATGTGTATTTTGAAATATTTAAGTAGTTTTAACAAATTTGTATGACATTTGTTGGGCTATTGCTTGATGTTAGAATCTTCATTTGTTTTTTTAAATATTTTTTCTCTAGGATAACTGACACTTCCTCTATAAACGGTCATGTGCTCTGAACACTAAATACTGTGTCTTACGTATCTAATCCGTCAACAAGCTGATTGATTTGGAAGTGCTTTCGTAACTTCAAGACACTTTCTTTTGCTCTTTAATTAATCCTATTGTTATAGTGTGTGTACATATATGTTAGATTTCAATTGTACTGTTTGTGCCAAAATATGGCCAGTTTCTCAACATGGACTTCACAGTCTTTCAAAACTAGAGCTAGATTGTTTTTCCTGCGTCAGTAACATGAGACAACATTGTCAGACTAGTTGAAGCATAGAAAGGAACAAGCAGACACCATTTCTTGGTGTGGTCCATTTTACAAAAACAGACTTTCTTCCATTCAACAAAACTTCTTGTGTTTACTGTACCTTGGTAGGTTTGTAAAAGAAAAAAATATGCCATTGAAATATTTTTCCTGGTCCGTTGTTCGCTAAATATACTTGTCATCATTCTGAATTTCACTGTTACATAGTGTATATTAATTGTGTTGTTTGGCAGCGAATGGAGTTTTAAAGCCAAAGTTGTAATCTGAGAAATGTTTTGTCATAGTCATTGTCCATCAGCTTGGAAATGAAAAAAAAAGTAGATTCAGATATTTTTTCATATTCTTATATTCTTATAAATAACTTGTTTGCATACTTGATAGGAAATAACTATGACAACAAAATAACTATTGAATTAAAGGCACCTGTGAGGACACCACGGATACTGTTTAACTGTAATAGAAATTATGTTTTTTTAGCAGTTACATCTGGTTTGATTTTAGCTCCTTTTTATTACTAATTTATTCGGTTTCCCATGTAATCCTACATAAGGAAACTCAGTTACCTACATCTTTTCTATTGCCCTCCTGCCAAACCAGGGAACCCTTTGAGGGCCTTTATGTGTAGGCTGCATGTGTTATACAATCTGCTTACAAGAGTGCTGTGAGTTTGTGTAATAATAGCTACATTCTTTTCTTTTCAAAATATTGAGTTATTAGAAGTGTCAGAGACAAGCTGGTTTTGTATTTGAGAAAATATCTGAGGGTGGAGGTGTCTACGTGCAAGCTGCAAAAGAACAAAAACACGTTAATTCCACACTCAAAAGTATGAATCCTGAACATAGCTCCATTGTTGAAATGAACTTTTCATCTTAGTTTTACTTTTCATCATGACATTACCCATACAGTATGAGATCCATAATCTTGCCCATATGAGAAAATAGTTCATGGTACAACCACTTGCAGAGTAATCAAAATGAATTGTCCAACAACCTTTGACTTAAGTTTTTGAGGAATTTAAAGATTGAGTGAAGTTTGCAATAATTGAGCACTAACATATCTATTTTTTCAGATAATGTAGTGTTTTTATGTGTGTTTGTTTTCTTTCATTTATTCTATGATGTTAAAGAAATGTGCAATGCATAAAAGTGGAACAGCACAGACTTCCAAGTTCAAAGAATAACAGATAATGACATCTTAAAAAATGCTGAAAAATTCCAGTGAAGCATAATGCCAAGTTCTGTGATCTTTCCGTTTAGAGATATATTTTTAATTTGTTAGCTGCTTATTCTAAGCTTAGCCACTATAAAAGTACCACACTTACAGTAAATCATTAGAATTTGCTGCTACACAGAGATTTATACTGTATGCTTGTTTATGTTGCTTTTGTTGTGATGTGTTTCTCTTTATTATAACTTTCCCATCTGGGTAGCTTTATTGTCTAATGTTACTTTTCCTTCCTTTTTAAATACGTATTTATAAAAATATAATATTTCCATTTTAGTGACAACTCTTTTTTATGGATATATTGTCTGCCTTGTTGATCCTCGTTAAAAGATACACATATTGAATACCTCACTAACATTTCTTCCTCTATCGTCTAATCTGACTCATGGGACACAAAATGTATTTATGAGGGTACTATACGAACCAGTGACTATACTGTATAGCCAGAATTAAAATTATATTTTTCTAATGAAATAATGAGGGCTGATGGGAAAAGGAGCATTTTTGTTATGCTCAAAGAAGTGGATGACTGTGAGATTGAAAACCTTGATCCAGTATTAATCTATATACCAGCCCGAGCTTCCATGTATCTATTCGTTAATGTGGTTTCAGTAAGACTACTTGTCCTTGAAAGGTTATTTTTATTTTCAATGCTAAGCAACTGAGAAGTCACTATTGATCTAAACTGAACAATATTCCTTTCATCAATCACATTCTAATTTGGTTGTCCTGTATTAAAGCACTACTCCATAAGCCATAGGTGGAAAGACATGGACACATTTCCCTTTTGAACTAATAATTATAGTATCATATTTCCTTTAGGTATTTCTTTCAATTTTGATATTTCTGTTTTTTTTTTTTACAAGTGTCCCAATTGAAAGGTCAAAGTACTTCCAGAATAATTGGTATATGTTTTTTAGCATTAATCATAATGATATAAGATAGGAGCACTTTATTGCCAATATACAATTTCTTGTATTAGGAATTTGTCTTTTCACATTCCCCAACTTGCTCTCCATGAGACACACAGACAGGGAGAGAAGCTTGGGGTCAGAGCACAGGGTCAGCCATTTATACGGTGCCCCTGGAGCAGTTGGGGTTAAGGGCCTTGCTCAGGGGCCCAACGGAGTAGGATTCCTCTGCCAGCAGGATACAAACCACCAGCCTTCTAGCCACAGGCGCAGATCCTTACCCACAGAGCCACCGCACTGCATTTATAGCACCTTGGCTGGGCATCTCAATTAAATAATGCATATTTTACATGGGGTAATTTGATTATCAGGGATGGAGTTTTGGTAATTTCCCATTTTCAGCAGAGACATAAATGTAGCTTTCTATATAAAATTATAATAATTAAATTCATTTTCTGATTAAATCAAAAGCTTTCATTAATGGTATCTTGCTTACTACAGTACTAACTACTTTCACAGTACAGTACATCCACTGCTGTAAAAGTCTTTGGACTTTAGAACAGCACAATGCATTTTGTATTGTTTTGCATGAGACAGTTTTGTATTGTTCAACTCTATTTAATCAATTTTTCTTTAGAGAAACATAGTTCTGTAAGTGATCTTCCACTTATATTTTAGTATTACATCTGATTAGTTAAGCATCAAAAACCAAAAATAGCCTTGTAGATTTCTTGATATGAAGAGAGGTTTGAATATTTTTATTGATAAAGAACACCTAAAAGTCAACATGATTGGTAAATGTGATAGATTAGCTATAACAACACCTTAATATTGGATGCTCATATAAAGTTTATCATTAAGTTTTGAAGGTTCTGATCAATATAAATTGAAAAAAAAACCTGAATGACAAAGTTGTTTTTTCCTCTATTAATAGTTGAAAACAGTAGTGAAACATTAATAAACAGCTGAGGGTCATTATACAAGATATTGTACTGTACAGTGTCTGAAATTATTCTTAATTGAAGGAAGCTACAACTGTAGAAGCACACAGTTGTTGCCATTTGTTTTAAATGTCATCATAAAGATTTGAACAATGTAAAACTGGAATATTTGGCTTTGTCTGTTAGCACCAGAACCAGCTTGGTCAGTGCAGACACATGTTAATGGGACACTTTTGAAATCACATGCAGCTAAGAAAGAAAGGCTATTTATAATTAACTGAATGTGGTGTGTCACAAAGTTTAAATTTGTCAAAATAATTATAAAAATAAAACATCTCTGAATTTAGACATGTTTGCTACAAAGGTAATTCAAGTCTATGACAATTAGGAGGACCCATGCACAAATACAGTAATTTAAAGAACCTTCCACCCATACAGTGTGTAATGTCTGAATGTTGAACCATTGAATTGTTTTTGAATCATGTTATTCAACACCAGCGTGCCCTGAGATTTTTATTAACTTTCTTGTTTCAATTTCTTAAAATTTTATGTCTCCTCTTAAGCGTCAACCTAAGCATCAAGTTACCAAATGATAATACAGTTTTCCAACACTGGTTCTTGGGTCCAGAATTCAGCAGGTTTTCTATGCAACAGTATTGAAAGCATAAGAATGTCTAGAATGGATGGACTGGTCAAATTAGACTCTACATCAGTTTAACACTTCTCCCAGATAAAAAGATATTTAGATGTCAAAGAAGCATACCATGTTGGATGCAAGACTCTAGGGGTACCTGGGCACTCCTGATATAGAGTGAATCCCTGTTCCCCATCCTGTGCTTTAGTCATTTGCTCTTCAGCTGTCCCTTAAAAACCTTAAGATACAATTTTTGCTAATTTACTTTCTAGTTACTTTACAACTTTGCGTTGTTTTCACCTATAAAAACAATGACATGTCTCTGCAGTTGTAATTGTTCTGTCTAGAAAGAAACTGCATTTGGTTTCCAAAGAAGAGATTCAATTCTCTGCAGGAAGCTAGAGATATAGCCTAATTAATTGCCATTAATAAAAAAACATGGTAGAGCCATTAATTCACTTTGATAAAAGAAGTGTCCTAATAGCCATCCTGATGCTGAACTTTGCACATGAGCAAATGAGAACTATCACCACTGCTATGTTCTTTCCATGGAGATAAAATATATTTATCCCTGTTGCAAGATTAGTCATGATTTCATCTTTTCTTTCCTCATATACCCATACGATAAATGTAAAAAAGTAGCTAAAGTACATAATAATTATGGTAAGAAAACAACTATATCTGTTAGGTATTTCTGCTGTGAGATTGCAAGTGTTTCCAGCATTCCAGAAAGAAATGTTTTTTTTTATTATTATTCAAATGCATTCTGAAACTCTTTAATATACTGTATATACAGTAGATGTGCCTTAGATGATAAAGAA